CTCTGAGGCATGCCAAATGGTGGAATGCATTTTTGATCAAATCCGAAGTCAACTTCCTGTTTGTCTGTGCATCTGTCTGTTTCATACATAAAAAAATTTTTGTCACAGTTTTCTCAACAATTAATCATGGCAGATGCTTGAAATTTTAACACAATCTTCTCTGAGGCATGCCATATGGTGGGATACATTTTTGTTTAAATCTGAAGTCAACTTCCTGCTTGTCTGTGTGTCATCTGTTTTGTACATGACAAATCTTCGTAGCAGTTTTCTCATTAGATATTCATAGCAAATGCTTGAAATTTTATTACCGCTTTTGTTCAGGCATGCCATATGATGATAGGATTAAGGATATGGAAATAACGAACAGTATTCAATCTCAACGTCCATTAAACAAATATACAAAATAAGAGCAGAGTAAACACGGACCTCCGAAACATCAGAGGTGGGATCAGGTGCCATGGAGGAGTGAGCATCCCCTGCTGACCGGTCACACCCGCCGTGTGCTCATTGTCATAATCAGGAAATAACGGAAAAAAATCCGTAGTCAATTCAGTGTATAAATAATGGACTAACAATTGGTATGAAAAACGTCAGTCAGCATTTCATTCAATGATAAATTGTATTTGCTGACAAGGTCATTGTATCGACCATAGAATTTACGAAATGATGACTTTAAACGAGACTGTTGATATTCTTGTTTCATCAACCTGCTTGTCAATAATTTACCTCGTTTAAGAAATTGTTCATACGTAGAGCATGCTCTTGCGTATCGAATCAACTGAGATATAAATACTCCGTATGCAGGTGATGAAGGTATATTGCTGCATAAGTAAGGGAAGTTGACGATAGAAAAGTTAAAGTCATCACGTTTATCATATAGCTTGGTTGTTAGATTACCATTTGTGTCTTTTTTCAAGTAAAATATCCAAGTATGAAGCAGAAGTGTTGGACTCTGTTGTATCTTTTATCTCAAGCTCACCAGGATATATCGTGTCGACGTAGGAATGGAAATTATCATTATTAATTGACAATACGTCGTCGATATATCTAAATGTCGAGTTGAAGGCCAGAGCAAGTGTTTTTTTCTTTTCACGCAAAAGATTGTGCATAAATTCTGCTTCATATGAATATAAAAAAAAGTCTGCTAATAACGGAACGCAATTTGTACCCATGGGAATTCCAATAGATTGTTGGAATACCTGGTCTCCAAAAACCACATAGATATTGTCAATCAGAAACTCAAACATCTTCTTGATGTCAACTTCAGAGTACTTATGTGTACAATCAGAATCTGTTTTAACAAAATAATTTTTCAAATGACCAATGACGAGGTAAGTAAATTTACGAGTTCAATTTTTGTTGAAGAAGCAGCTGTCAATGATATCAAAAAGCCTGGATTTTAATTTGTCGTGCGGAATTGTTGTGTATAAAGTTGAAAAGTCGTAAGTTTTTATGCTGTTCATTTTTGTAAAGTCTTGTGATTTCAAATTGTCCAAAAGTTCTTTAGAATTTTTAAGTATCCACATCTGATTTACACCACTTCTTGAATATATAGTTGTACAGTACTCTTGAAGTTTTTCCTTCACTACAGTCAATATTTTAGTGAGAAGTAACGAAAGAGGCTTGGTTGAACATTTAATGGAACCTGCTATGTATCTTTGTTTGTAAGGATTCTAATGAAGTTTCGGAATCCAATATATATAAGGTAGTTCAAATTCATTTTGGCTCTGTGGAATATTAAAAGTATTCAAAACTGACAGGTGATTTTGAAGAATTTCTTCCTTAGAAAGAGTAGTATATGTATAAGTAGGATTACCACTCGTGGAATTAAATCCAAGTTCTTCTAAAATGCAATTTATATAATGAGCCTTACAAACGAAGACAATGTTGTTACCTGCTTTGTCGGCAGGAACCAGTACGTACTGATCGTGTAATCTATCTAATTCTTTTTTCACTTCTGGTTTATTGAACACAGAAGGATGGATGGTTTTCATTTTGCCCCTAATCTCTTAATACGTGACTTTAACATGGATCTGATACATTTAATCCAATCTGACAAGGTGTCAATGTCTTCTTTTTCATATCTGGAACATCGCCTCGCGTAATCTTCAATAGAATCCATAATATTTATGAAATTCCGACGCCAGTTGAAGGATCAGGGTCCCCTATATTTAGGACCTTTTGAAATAAGTGATCTGAGGACCTCATTATTATCTATATCACATCACCTGTAGTAACATGTCCAGCAGGAGTATAGTTATAGTGTGAGGAAGAACATGAACACGAAAGGGGATTACTTTTCAGATAGTCGATATCCAGGCCATGTAAAGTATTTTTGTAATTGAAAAGTTTGGAAGCAATGGTCGAAGTATATTTGTAGGAAATACAAGGCGTAGTCTTTAACTTGAAATATGGTGGAATATAAGACTGGACCCTTTTGTGATTAAGAATATTACTAATATTTACCGCGTCAATTCCTTTATTGGCATATTGAAGTTTAAGGAAAAGACGGATTGTTTTAGCTGCATTTTCTTCCGTGAAACGTGCGGGTTTAAAAAGCCTATGATGTGCAATATCCATAATCACAGAACCGAGCCTATATTCAGGTGTCGAGGAATCTAAATTTGGATGTTCCTTGGTCTTTTCAAGAAAACTATTTAAAAGTTTCAAAGGGACAGAGTAAAGTTTGGTTCGAATATGATGTAGACCTAACTGTTGGTTTACATAAGGTAGTAATGAATCAAAAGAGACGTCGTGTATTGCAGGTTTATTGTACGAACGATGTCCATGACTACGCTTACGTCTCTGAGTATTGTTAAAAAGTCCCATCACATTTACATTATTACACTGCGGGCTTGTTAGATTTCCTACACTATCAACATTGTCATTACATCCATAGGGAAAGGCTGTCCCTAGTTTCCTAATCCAAACTTCTTCACGTTGTCTACGGAAAGGTGTACTCAAAGATGGACTATTTGTGTGGTGATAAATTTTTTCCAGAATTCTAACTTTCATTGATAAAATAGAATGATCAGGTGAATTAAAATGTTTATATAAAAGCTGCTGACCACCATGATTTATTTGAAATCGATGACCTGATATTCTTTTGTTAAGCGATCCCTTGGTTTCACCGACATAAAAAGTCCACACAGATTACATTCTATTCCATAGACAACATTAGAAGATTTGCAGTTCAGATTTTCCCAAGTTTTGGTAAAGAAGCTCTGTCCAGTAAGATTACTGGTGAAAGAAGTGTCAGTTATCAAAATGTCACAGGTTTTACAGTTTCGTACAGAACATTTTGAAACCGAAGACATTGGATCGCAAAAGGAATCATCCAATATATTTGTAATAGAAACTTTACACTCTTTCAATTTGGTATATGATGTATTGGAATCTTATGTCAACTTTATCTGCCTGTAATTGAACTTGTGTAAACAGTACATTAACATGATAGTGCTTATTTACATCAGAGCGGGGGTATTACTGGTGAGCATTGGCTTACAAATTTCTTGTTTCTTTTTATATTTTTATCCTATTATTTGGACATCAGACTTTGACCACCTTTTGAAAAAAACTTTGGTGATAACTTTTGAATGGTTGATTTCGTGACTTTTATATTTCACCTGTGTATTCTTTCTAAAATTATTTTGGGTATCTTTGATATTGACTCCTTGACCTTGTCCAGTTTGACCTACTTTTGAAAATCTCTAACTTTGGTCATTATTACTGAACTGTTGCTGCTTATGTTGTTTTTATTTCAGAAGGTAGACTCATATTGAGGAACGTTTCATTTGTTACAAAAACTACCTTATATTGGCCTTGGTGTTTGACCTGCAAACGAAAACATTTATCATAAGCCTCATTGTTTCACAAACTTTTCTTGAATTTTGATCATAAGCTCCTTAAACTTTTCACATTGATTTAATAACAAATTTCAAGTTGTAGTCTATCAAATATTTGGATATACTAGTATATAAACCATCGTATACACATTGCATAAGGGAAAAAAATTTGTCACACATATTGAATCATTTTTTAAAGATGTGGTCTCATAATTTCAAAAGTTTTAGCAAACATATTGATTAATGTTAGTTTGCTTTTTATTTACAAAAGCAGTTGCAAATATAAGATTACATCTTTCGAAAAATAATGAATCGTTGCTCATTTTTTTTTCTAACTCCTTGTCTTGTTTTGCAAATTTGATTTTTTTCTAACTTACTTAAATTATCTCTAGCCTAAATAATGAATTTAAATGATCTCAAAATTTGTTTCAAGATTTGTTACGTCAAAATAAAACGCGTATTACAAATGTAATATTTTAATCCCCGATCTGTGTCAGAGTGTTTTGAAAAAAAAAAAAAAAAAAAAAAAAAAAAAAAACACAATAAAAAATTACAGTTGATTTAAAAAAGAAAATTATATCTTAACATCTTTATTACAATGAAACTTGTTTTATCCGAGGTGTAGTATTGTAGCGTGTAGAGATCATTGAGATAAGTATAAATGACAAATGAAATTAAATGGCTGAAATCACAGTAAAGAGTATTGCATGTGTCGGATTAAACAGGTTCCAAGGTAATAGGTTTAACAATAAAGTAATCTTCATCCTAATTCTCCGTCCAGTCATTACCATTTATCAGTGTTTGTAAATAAGAACGAAATATTTCTATTTTCAAATTTATTACAACACATATAAAGTACATCTTTTACTGAATACATCCAGTATCACTTTTCATAGCCGTTCAACCACCTTCTTTTACCGTTGTTACTTGATGTTAAATATTAAAAAAAACCTCAGCAATAAAAATTAATTTAAAATCGTCTCTTGGGGGTTTCTGTAATCCATGGTTGATCGTTCGTCTGTTAAAAAAAAATAAATTTATACTTCACAGATTAATGTATGATAACATATTTTTTCTATTAAAAAAAACAACTTTTATTACTGAAAATTTCAGACTGATACAAAAAAATGGATATTAAGATGAAATGATGTTTACCTAGTGACGTCTGACCATCATGGTGGTCCCCTTCACTGATGTCCCGTACTGTATTGTGGGATACCATGGTCTGTACCAAGTCTCCGGGGACCATTGACCGTTAAGGAAGGCTCGGTGACATCTGTTAAACCACCAGCCTCCTCTACGGTTACTGTCAGCAGCACAGTTATCTCCAGCTCTGTCGTTATCCCTGTCCGGGGTACTGAAGAACATCCCAGACAGATCTCCCCCAGAACTAGGGGTGTCCAACATACTGTCTCCTGTAGAATTAAGAAAGAAAAATAGGCATGGACACTTGTTTAAATAGATCAGTAGAGTTTTATCCACTATACTCGTCGTGTCCTATGTCTGGGTGGTGAAGAACATCCCAGACAGATCGTGGTAAAATAAACCTGTATTTAACATACTTTCCCCTGTTAAATCAAACAAAAAGAATCACAAAGTTAATTGATTCATATATTTTTTAATCTAATTGTCAATAATAATACTGAGGTACTTCCAGGAAGGAAATGGAAATAACGAACAGTATTCAATCTCAACGTCCATTAAACAAATATACAGAATAAGAGCAGATCAAACACGGACCTACAAGATAGATGGCTTCAGGTGCTGGAAAAGGAGATAATATTTATTTAGTTCTGTCATTGAATCCCCGATGTCTTAATACTGACACCTGAAGATTTAGAAAAAACAATATACGAGGGCTGTTCAATAAATAATGTCCTGAACTATATGACATACATTACAGATATCGTATGATATTAAACTTGACTTTCCTTCATTTTTGAATCTTTCGTGAATTTATAACAGTTTGTGTGACCACTTTTCATCACATAGTTTCATCATGAGAAGCTGAGAAACAAGGGCTTTTCGAGACACTGCATTATAAATGAATGGTTAACAATCAGTGAATTAGGGTGAAAATCAAGGCTTGATTTAGGCTGCCGTAAAACTTGTTAAAAATCTCAAAGAAATATTAACTGAAATATGTGACGTTTACAGCAACCAGTGCCTGTTTTATAGCCAAAATAGCAGGTGGATTTCAATGACAAAAAATTATATAATGGGCATCAAAAATGGGTACCCTCCTTGCCAACAAAAATTTTAACAACTTATGTACTGTTCGCCAGATTTCAAAAAATAATACTTTACGGTGTATGATTGACTTTAAGACGCATAGCAAATTTGATAAACATCACATCGGGGGTAATTTACGCTGTTTTTAAGAAACGTTTGGCGGTAAAGAAGCTTGATACTCAAAGGTCACCCTATATTTTAAAAAAATATTGAAAATGACAGCGTGTACGAAATTCTTAAAAATTATTTTAAAATATCAGTAATTGTAGTTATCCACGTTTGTTTTATTTTCAAACAGATATTGGAACATGAATCTATTGATTAAAACTCTAATAAGAGAGTTTATCATAAGATATACTTGATAAAAACGGCGATTTTCTGAAAAGTACACAGGTTTGCAAGAGAACAGAGACAGTATAACATATAATTTTCTTAAACATTATTGGTAATATTATTCAAAATCGTAATCGGAGAGACAGTTCAATTTCTGGAGGATTCTAGAAAGCACTTTTTCGGTCAAAAAATCAAAAGGTTTATAAGAGGAAGGGCCCAGAATCAGAAATCCATTACATTGAATATCTCCAAGAAAGCGTCCAAACCCGCATGCTCTGAAGAATAAAGTGGTTTTCGGGATAAACAGAAAGTTAATGTTTTTACACATTAAAAATTTAATATTTAATGACAAATCAATATAGTTCTCGTTCGTTGAACGAAAACTCCCGAGAGTAGTAGACGTCACAAAAGCATGGTTGACGTCACAAAACTGATGACAATGTGTTGAACAAAGGATTTTATAGTAACTCTATGTTAACAATGAAAGTGAATTTGAGAGCTGTGTCGAAGAATGGAGGCGTACAAGGCGAGGGCAATCCCCCGCTCTGAAAAAAGACATTTCTCAATTCAAAGAGTGGAATTTTTTTTCAAAATTTTATGGTTTATATCATCTTTTACATATCAAATTCTATATTTCATTGTTTTAATAATTCATGAATAATTTATTTTTACTCATGTTTTTAAGACATTTGAAAAAAAAAAGAAAAAGCTGCATGTATGATTCGAACTCTCTCCATAGCGCAGATTTGTTCCAAGACCAAACGCATTAACCATTACGCTACGAAGTATATATACACTAGTGACGTCTTTCAGTGTGATTCAAATGGACTGGTTTGTTGAAGCGAACTTTTTTCAGAAAAGTTCGATTTTCATATAGAATGGGTTCAGATTCCATTTTTTGGACAAATGAAATGGATTTTACATTTACATTTCCATCATTTAAGCGTTCACGAAGAATGGAGACTTGACCCATTCATGTTCAAAATTCGTTTTTTATAGCTCTATTAAACCCATTTTCCACTAAATATGCTTAACTGTCAACTTTGAAATAAAGATTATCAAATGATAAGTCGTTCAGTAAAATAAAATAATAAAATATTTTAAGATGACATTACTGAGAACACGATATTAGAAAAATATAACCTTTTTGTGAATTTTGAAAATTGAGAAACATTTTGTCTCAGAGCGGGGGATTGTACACGCCTTATACGCCCTCTTTCTTTGAACGTTTATGTTTATTTCAAAGACTTTGCTTGTTTCGGTATAATAAACAATTCATTGCATGAATGTTCGGGAAACATGAAGACTTATTCAGCCAAGAAATATCATATTCCCCTCGGGCGAAGCCCTCGGGGAATATGACTTTCTTGGCTGAATAAGTCTTCATATTTCCCTCACTATCATGCAATAAATGTATATTAAACATCACATTAAACTTAATACTGAAGTACGTTTGAGATACACAGTTTAACTAGAAAGACAGATTAAAATAATACAAAACAAAAAACGGCACGATTCACATAACATCCTTTGTAGTATGATTGATTGATTGATTGTATACTGTTTAACTTTCCTCTCCAGAATATTTCACTGATATGGAGACCTTACCATTGCCGGTGAGGGGCTGCAAATTTAGGCCTATGCTCGGCACTGAGGGCCATTGAGCAGGGAGGGATCTTTATCGTGCCACACCTGCTGTGACACGGGGCCTCGGTTTATATGGTCTCATCCGAAGGACCTTCCCATTTAATCGCCTTTTACGACAAGCAGGGGGTACTGAGGACCTATTCTAACCCGGTTCCCCACGGGGTCTTTATAGTGTGAAAATAAACAGCAGACGTGTTACACTTTTTAAGCATGGTATTTTTTTTTTTTGGGGGGGGTGTAAAGGTCATTGAAAATTTAATGAAAACATCACAAAATGAAATTTTAATATTTGTCCTAGACAGTGCATTTAAGCAGGTATAACATGCAATACTAAGTAAATCATTAATTACGAGATAATATATGGAGTATCTGTGAATGTTATAAGATGGTAGATTTCCTATTAAATAAATATAAATGTGAAACGCGTTGATGTCTTTTGAATTTGGCTTTTTAAGCTTCTTTTATTTGAATATTTATCCAATCAAAATATTTTTATCATCAATTTTTTGCAAACCTTTAGACATTTTAGAATAATGACGCACTGTAAACTTTCTATTCCGTAGTAGTAAAAAATATGAATCATTGAAAATCAAACTAACATGCTCTTTAAACGTTTTCCGTATTTGTTAAAATGTGAATTACCAAAAATCAGGCAACCCAAACTGAATAAAATCGTTAAAAAAATGTTATTATTGAATTTGTGCGTTAAAAAAAAATATTTTTCCTTGTACATAAAATGTATAATTAGAAATTTTATGTATTTGACAATAACAAATCAAGTATTGCTGAATATGACAATTGTACATACAAATGTTATTCTTAAATATTAAACATGTTTAATTAGCGTGGAATCAAAAAAGTATACTTAATATGAGAAGAAAAAATCACATTTTTCTTTTTCTCAAGAACTTTATAATCTTAATAATGTTATTATTGGATTAATTTGTTTAAAAAAATAACATAATTTTTCATGTACATAAAATGTATAAGTAGAAATTTTATCTACGTGACAATAACAAATTCAATATCTGCTGAATATATGAATCGTATCTACAAATGAAACTCTGAAATATTAAACATGTTTATTTAGAGTGGAATAAAAAACGTATACGGAATATAAGAGAAAAAACACATCTTTCTTTTTTTTCAAGAACTTTATAATCTTTTAATACAGAAGAGAATACTTTTGATAATCAACGTTATTTGAACCCAATTTTAAGAACTTAACATAAATACACAGACCTAAGGTTCCCGTTGCAGGTCCTGCAAGGAAGAGTTGATATTTTCCTGCTTCGTCGGAGACAGAGAATCGATCGTACATTTCATACAGCGTTGTACCATTCTGGAGAGTGATGGACACATACAGGAATGAGTTTTCTTTCGTTAATTGATGGATTACGTCATTTCCTGTATTAAGATATATTTGAAAACATCTGAAAAGTTCATCGAATACAATTAATTCTTTTTAAATCTTTGTGAATCTACCGTAATGACAAATCAAATTATTTTCCATAGCTGTAGACAATATTGCAAAATTTTGTCTCATTAGAATATGCCGCTAAATAATATTCTTCTTTTCTATTTTTTTTTATTATTTGAAATATCAATAAAACACGATATCTGAACATCAAAGAACACACATCACCTTGTCTTAACTTTATATTTTGTTTAATCTTAAAACTTTTAAGGACTAAAAGCGATTTACACTTACCAATCCAGACATCCTGTTCTGGAGAACCAAATCCATTCTTATAATCCCTCCAGTTCCTGTCAAAGATTACGGATCCGTCTACGCGTTTCTGAATTGCCTTCAAGATTAGCATACATTTCATTTCAATTTATTGCTTCGAACATTTGTAGGATCCATTTTTTTTATATATAAACTACAATAAAATCCTACAATCATTAAAACCACCAAAACAAGGTGTGTTATATTCAGTATTTCTAATTATAAAATAAAAAAACCTACCGTCCAGCCACCGTCCATTGTGGTCATATCGCAGTACACACTTATTGGTACTGATAATGTACTGTAGGGGTATATATCATACACCCCTGTGATGGTTTGTCCATTTTCTCGGAGATCCTTACAATCTTTGGGCATGCTAGAAAAATCTAAAAAAAAAAATACAAGAAACTTGATAAAAAAAATCGTGACCCCTCGAGAAGGAACTAAAAAACCAAACAAGCTAAAATAATAAAATAAAAAAAAAAATACATACCGTTATCCGAGTAGTATCTCCAACCGGCCTCATCAGACAACCCAGATGTCAGACTTTCCTTGTGGATACGGCATTTCTTTGTTTGAGAGTTAAAGCCAAAGACGCTGCACTCCTTTTGACAGATTGTGGCGCACTCGATCAAGGAATGAGCATTGTGTTCCCCGACAAGGTCAAAGTTTGACTTCTTATCATTAAATTCGAGTTTCCTTGTATATTTCTTAGAAATACAGGTAGCTTTAGATAAAGCCAAGAAGCCGACCATTAAAGTGATAACCCACTGATTGCTCATTTTTTTTTTTGTTGGGAAAAAAAAAAACTGCTGCGTTCTTGTTAATCTGTGAAATTCTGCTGAATGGTCTTTCAACAGCCAGATATATATATCGTACCATAATCAATGTCTGAAAAGTGATTGGCTAACTGTTACGAATTCTATATATTTCATTATTGTTTAAGTATCGATTTTATGGAAGTTCATATGAATAGTCCTGAATTTTCATAAACCTTTATTTTGAAATTGCAATTTAATATTTAACAATGAAAGGTTTCTGTTTTTAATTTAGTTAGTGCCTCTTATGTTATGATATTGTACAGTGTTTTTATTAGATATCAACTCAAACTGAATAAAATTAGAAATCAGGAATTTTGTAAAATTCAAAGTAAAAATTATCTGACTCTAAGACATTATTAAGAATTTATTGATTTATTTCAACTTTGATACATAAGCCTCTAAATGTTAATTTAACACAATATATCATCATTGGTTCACGTACTTTTGAATCTTAGAGAGACGTACATTTGTTAAATACAATTATAAGAACACTCTAAAGGAATGCTTTTAAGCGTGTTAAAACTTTTTTTAAAAAATGAATAGTACATACGATAGATGTTCAAAATAAAGAATCGTAATACGTTGTTAAAATGACATAGGAGTCGAGACCGGAGTAAGGTGGCCTTAACCATTAGAAAGACAGTGGTAAATTGGATTTACCTTTATTTGTTGATCCCCCCACATACACACACTTTCTATTAACCCCTCCCCCTAACATTCAATTTGCTTCCGACGCCCTTGAATGAGACCCAATTTGGGGATTTTTTTTAAGGAAACGGATAAATTCTATTCAAAGCTAATTCACTCTGAATTAGCCGCTTTAATCGAAGGAAGTGCATATATAAATGCTTTACCTAAATCTCAGTACTTATTCCTAGTGATTATCGTTCTTGTGAAATATTTTACTTCATTATTCTCCCTTGTAATAAAAACCCCTGAGGTCGCTTTGGTTGCAACTTCCTTTTTCAATATTCCAGCATCATCTTGGGTCAGTAAAAATTTTCCAGCCTGTTATTGTTTTATTTTAATTTGAAACACCCAACCACCTCACCCATTTAGAATAGATACTACTTTTCTGTTTTTTTTTAAATGCTTTCAGACAAAGACTTATGTACAGTGAATATCACGCTCATCGTGACAGGATTTACGAGATGAAACAAAGACCTTAGGGAACAGCAATTGCCAGGGGGATTGAACCACAAGTATCTCTATGGACTCACGGCATTCTGGACTTTCAAGACATTTAATGTGAAAGTGATGTGAGGAACAGCCATTTATAAGGAAGTGATTCGTTCCAAGAGCAAGTCATGCACCATTTCCAGGAGCCAATAACTTTCCTCTAACCGCAAACATTAAACAATAATGTGGATTTATAGAATCTAGTACGGCTGTCCGTTTCTTTCCAGCTGAGATGTGCGTAAACGAGCGGCACTAAGTAACTATCCTTATATGCAGTCATGTAAGTCATGAAAGTTGAAAAGTAAAGTTTAGATTTAGATATACATAAATAAGTGCTTAAATATAAAGAAATATAAATATCTGCACCACCCAGGGTCAAGGCTTTTACCACTTTCTGATATAGTGTTTGTGAACTTTAACCTTTGACCTATGAACTTGATTTTGAATATTTAATATGTAATATTTGCTTTGTTGTGTTGCCAGGGACACCAATAGCTTTTCATAATTTGTGTCTCTGGATAAACAGCCGTGCCCAATTTTCGCCACATTAAAATTTATTAAATACATACTTGATGTTTTTTATTTGCACTTATCTGAGATAAAAGTTGTAAAACTTGTTTTCGAATCCTGTTTGTATTATCTACTGTGTATACATGATGTCTAATTTCAATGACATAAAGTTAAAACTTAAATGGTGAATAGCTAATGTTGCACATGAATCGCACTCTTATTACTTAAAAAGGCAAGTGGTCCTCGGGCTTGTTGAAAGAATGCTTAATCTGCACATAGAGACAAAGAAACAAATCGGGTGTAATGTTAAAGCCTTCAGTTAACAAGTCGGGTGTAATGTTCTTTAACCAGATGATAAAAATAGAGGTTAAGCGTCATGCTATCGTCTTTATGAAACTCTCATATCACATATTTTCGAGGTTTGAGAACAATATATTCGTTTATGAGGACTTGATTTCATGGTTAAAGAATTGTTTAATAGTAATTTAGTAGGAGAAATAATATTATGGAAGACATATATTTATGGGTCTTTTATTTTATACCTTAAGAACGACGAAAATAAATACCTCACAGAAAATAGTGAATTCACAGTTGTTTACTAGATAAGAAAGACGTAATGAAAAAATGTACACCTGCAATTTTAAAAGCAGTTACAGCAAAAAGCTGGCAGAAATGTTGCCTAAGTAAAAACGTCAACTGTGACAGGTCAAGTTGGATGCAGGAAATAATTAAAAAGAAACATTTTCTTGTTTGAAATATCTTGACATAAACTTGATTGTCAATACATTTTAGCATACGCAAGTTACTTTATTTGCGGTTAAGGGGATGAAGGATGTTTTGTCACGTGACTCAGTTGATTTACGTCATAATCTCTGATAAAATATGTACAAAACGAGATTGAAACCACAGTACTTGTAGAATTTTTTTGACTGTTTGTTTGCGTTCACCATCTAGTATTAAAATATCTGAAAACATTCAAAATTTCTTGCAAATATTATCAAATTACGGAATAGATTAATCCACTCTGCCGTTTCCCTACTCTGCGCGTCCAGTGCGTCTCTGACGTCATAGTGGATCTTTTAGTTCAGTAAGATAATACACGGTAAAAACGGGTTGTATAAAATAAAAAAAAACGGGCCATAATATATACTTGGTAGGGTATTTTGTAAATTTCAGAACGCAAAAAATATTTTTACATGGTTGTTTACGGAACAGTTCTGTGGGTTTGTCTTATTTCGCTTATTTCAGGAATGTGTGACGTCATAGTTGGGTTTTCCCGTACTCGAGAAATGTAAACATGACACGTTTTTCTCATGATCATGACTCGTTTAACTTTGCTCCGTGCAATATTGAGCTCAGCTTCACCAATCGATATTTTTACATTTCATCAAAACAATGACGAGCTTGAACTTCGACGTAAATTTTCAAATATTGAATGATAGGATTTTTTGCAAATTAATTTTTTTATGGTTTAAGTTGTCCTTAAAAAGTCGTAAATTTTCCTCTCCAGATGTGGTGTTACAAAAGAATCTTGCTTTTTCGAGTTTTAACCCTATTCATACTCTAAAATATTTTAAAAGACAAATTTCCGCTGGTATATTTTTTATCTATGGTGAAAATTTCAATTATCGACCGAGTAATGGACCCAGAAACACGGAGAATAAAAACTCCGCTCAGCTACTGTGGGGTATGGTATTTGTCACTAAATATCTCAGAAATAAGTCTAGAAACCTATTGATATGTCTGCTTTATAGTATGTAGGACATACTATATAAGATATATACAAAATATGAAAAAAATTAAATGACAGGTATTTTTTCAGCTAAAGGTCCTTCATCCCCTTAATATCACTGTTTGTATAAAGTTGCCGTGAATAGAAAACTGTTTTACATTAACGGTCTGAAACTTTCAATTTTTTCGATGAGGCATATCTCTCGTTATGCTAAATTACAGAAAGTTACTTTAAGACAATGCTAAGTTTTTAACACAGAAGACAGTTGAACAGATGAGAACTAATGTAATCATTTTGTACCATTCCTGTCAAATTTAGGAAGCACAAAGGTTACATGATTGAGTTATATTCTGTAAGTCTAGGCAACGCAGAGAACTGCTAGCAAAAGAGAAAGTCGGCTGCCACTGAAAGAAACCATAAAAAACGACAGGAGAACCAACACAATCCGTCAGCCAAGGATAGATTGTGAGTTTTCAGTATTAAATCCTTAAGTAAAAAGCCAGGGTTTTAGCAGGGATCGTGTGACCAAAAGAGAATCATATACTATGGATTGTTTTTTTTTTGGATAAATTATACATTATAAATTATACACAGTCTTTAGAATACAGATTAGTCTCACATGTATTATAGAATATTTAAGCATTGAAGTCATATTTTTGTATGTCTTCGGTCCTATAACACACCTGGCCGTGCTGACAAATTGTTAGCGCTGTATGATAATTTGTCGGCACGGCCAGGTGTGTTATAGGACCGAAGACATCCCAAAAATTTGAATTCAATGCTTATATTTACATTCTCTAATTTTCCTTCTTCATAATTTCTTATTTCCTTCATTTTAAATGTAAATTTAACGCCATTCAAAACTGCCGTGGCTATTAAATGTAAGAGCCGTTTGTAACGTCAAATAACGTTAATTGACGTTGCAAAATTAAATAACGCAAACAAACATTGCGAGGAAACAAGTGACATATTAATTGTTAACGCACATTACGTTAATTTTTTACGTTAATTTTTCACGGTTATAGTTTGTCATTAAATTGAAATAAAACATTTTACATTTTGATGTTCCTAGAGTATTGAAAATGCTTATAGTTCCTGTTTTGTATTCTAACGCGCGGTGACAAGGTTTCGCGATTTGAACGTCGTGGGTTTCTAATGGATTTCATAAAGAAAATTACACTGAATGTAAATATAATGAAATGAATACATAACACGTATGAAGGTATTGCATAAATGCTATTTAAAATCAACAAGAAAACTGTGATGTATCCTTCAGTTGTCAAAAACATAAAGTAAACAGTTCCTGGAAATAATACTCCATTCCTACGACGAAAATATGCTCATGTGTGCAAATTTACATATAAGTAAATCTACATAGGTAAGTAAAAGTTAATTTGCTATGCGTTCAGACGAAAGTTATGTACAGTAAGGTAATCCTCAAATATTCATATAGATTAAGGAGATGTTGTGAGGTTTTATAGAAAAGGGTTTTTCCTTTCTGTTTGAGTATAAGACTAATCTTCAAGACCAACTTTTAAAT